TTGGGATACACTACAGATAGCCATGGCGGGGAGGGAGGAGAAACTGTTGGTGGAGACAAAGTGATGGCAGTTGTACAAGTAGGAATCAAACCAGGACAGTTCAATTCCTACTTGTCCCACGACAGTTCTTAAGTACTCTGAGATGCTACCCTGCATGGAGGACGCATTTTGTCTCGACGAATGGTTTCTCCTCCACCCCCCGCACTGTCTCATGTGGTGTCCCTCAGGGCTCTGTCCTTGGTCCCCTCCTCTTCACCCTCTATATGCTCCCCCTTGGTGACATCATCCGCAGACATGGGGTTAACTTCCACATGTATGCGGATGACACCCAACTCTACCTTTCCTCCTCTACTCTCAACTCCACGACCACCGATGTCCTGACAGCCTGCCTGTCCGACATCGAGTCCTGGACGAGAGACAACTTTCTTCAGCTCAACGTGCGAAAAACCGAGGCCCTCCTGATTGGCTCACGTCAGCGCCTCCGCACCTCAGGCGCTGACACCATCAGCATCCAAGGCTGCACTCTCCACCTCGCAAAGCCAGTCAGGAACCTCGGCGTTTTGTTCGACCCTGAGCTGTCCTTTCTTCCTCACATCCGCACCACAACTGGCACCGCCTTCCATCACCTCCGGAACATCGCCAGACTACGGCATTACCTCACCCCTCACGCTGCTGAAACCCTAGTTCACGCCTTTGTCACCTCAAGGCTGGACTATGGGAACTCTCTCCTCGCCGGCCTTCCCGCCACCTCCCTCCACAAGCTGCAGGTCATTCAGAACTCTGCAGCTCGTGTACTGTCCCGCACCAGGCTTCGCGACCACATCACTTCCACCCTCGCTCGCCTCCACTGGCTCCCCATCCCCCAGAGGATTGATTTCAAGATCCTCATCCTCACCTACAAGGCCATTCACGGCCTTGCTCCCTCCTACCTCTCCAACCTACTATCCCCCTACCTACCTGCCCGTACCCTCCGTTCCTCTGGCTCCGGTCTGCTCCACGGCCCCCTCCCCAACCGCCCTACCATCGGTGGTCGGGCCTTCAGCCTCTCAGCCCCCAGGCTCTGGAACTCCATCCCCCAGTGCCTTCGCCTTGCTTCCTCCCTCTCCTCCTTCAAGGCCGGTCTCAAAACCTTTCTCTTTGACCGAGCCTTCAGCTCCCCTCTCGACTCTCTTCCCCCTCCTCGCTCCCTCCCTTCCCTCCCCTCACCCTGACCATTTCCCCCCTCCTCGCTCCCTCCCCTCCCCGACCATTTCCCCCCTGCTCGGGTCATGACCCAACTGTGCAGCGCCTTGGGACGTCCTCCTGACGTGAAAGGCGCTTTATAAATGGAATCTTGTTTTTGTTGTTGTTGTATATAAGTGCAAGTTGTTGTTGTTGACAGTGCAGTCCCACTGAGGTGGATGGGGCAGGAGAGGTGGTCGAGGAGGATGGCATAGATGACTGTCTCAAAGGCAGTGGAGAGGTCTAGAAAGACAAGGAGACAGAGGGAGCCCAGCTCACAGAGAGCGTGAATGTCTTAATGTTGTGAAATGTAAAGTAGTTCATTTTGAGAAAAACGACAAAGAAGACAAGCATTCTCGAAGATTACTCCTAGTTGTGGTTATGAAGAAAAGCTCAAAATATTGGAAGTGCTTACACTGGAACAGAGAAAGTTAAAAGAAGATCTAAACAAGATCTTCAAAATGTTGAAAAGTTTTTAAGAGGATAGAAAGTAAATGATTATTCCCATCGGTTGGTACATTGGTCACTAGGGGGCATAATCTCACTACAAGTGTATTTGGTCTTTACTGCTTTTAAATTCAGTTCATATGGTGCATGTTTAATATATTGAAAGAAAGATTTGTGCTCCTTATTATACCTGATAAATTGGTTTTCTGGGTGTGTGGAAATTCTCCTAGGGTCTCTCAGCGTAGTGCCTCTGATCTTCCTCAGTTTCTGACTGTGCCTCAATAAAACTGCCAGGTCCAGATCAACTATTAATTATATCTCACGTTAACCTTGCATTCCTGTGTAATGAACACCTCAACTAATACCCTGGAAGAATTTCAACACAGTGAAAGCAGGAAAGAGGCACAGTCACAATTCATCGTTCATAGATAAATAGACATTCTATTCAATAGCAGTGTTCAAATTTCAGCTTCTTTATGAAGATAAAAGATAAACCTAATGCAGGACTTTTTTATTGCTTTGGGGAAACAGGGTTTGGTATTGTGATCATTGGCTAAGTCTTAATCTGCGCATAAGTTAACACTGTATTTTTGTTCTAGGATATGTTCAGTGGAATAAAGAGCCTTTTCCAAATCTCTTGTTTGTTAAAGGTTAACAGTAAGAATGTCAGCAGGTCTCAACTGAAACAATATGAAAGGCCTAATTCTTTGTATGCAGAATACTAAAGTACTCTGGAATTGTGCATTAAGTAGACTGGAGAATCATGTGTAAGAGATAATTAAAAGCATTTTCAGCTCCAGATTTTTTGCCTTGTAAAAAACAAGGTTACTTAACTACTTTATTTGCACACAGAGTAATTAAGCTTGTTCCTAGTTGAGCACTTGACTCGCAAATGAGAGGAACTGTGTTTGATTCCTGAGCAGGGTGAAACTTTAGGCAAGTTTCCTTATTCCACACGCCACTGTTTACCCAGCAGTTAGTAGGAACCCGGTTGTTAGTCGATTGGCGGATCGCTTTTCCGGGGGTAATACCGCAAAAAAAAATTGGTCACATTTAATCCACAACTCTTTGTGGAACACTGCTGTGCGCAAATGTCTGCCGCGTTTTGCCCACAAAATATACAGTCGGAGTTTACTGTAAATCTAGATAAGTAGACTAAGTAGCTTTACTGGCATTAGACGGTTTCACCTTATTTGATTGGAAAATGGCCATAAGTCAACACAGATATCCAGTTGTGTTATAATTTCGGCTGAGATTCTAATACATGAGTTAGATGTATTGTTACATCTGGAGCTTCAGTGAGGAGAATGTAGGGTGTTCACTGTGGGTTGGAAATGTGTGTGTGTGCGTGCAGCTGAATCATCAGCAATCCAGGTCAGCATCCACCCTGCTACTGACTCCAAAGTACTTTGACATTCAGGACTCTTGTCACCTAATCCGATTTAACCAAACAGATTGCATTAAGACCCAGCAACCTGTTGTCAGGAGCTGATTGTATAAATAGGGAAGATCTCCAGGTAGGAGAGAGAGAAAAAGATAGCAGATTGGATCCGAGAAGCAGGTAATAAGCCCTGGGCAGACAATGCTACCTGGCAACTTTGAAAAACAGCTAGCAGACTGCAGTGAATAATTGGGATTCACAATAGCGGTGTTAGCAACAGAATTTACTGAGGTGTGCTGTTAGACAATACTTAACAACATGTGTGACAATTGCCATAACCCTTGTAACCTTCAACTTCTGAATGTTCAGCATTTATGTTATATAAATTAATTTTCCAGAGTTTACATGCAGACACGTTGAATGTAAAGGTTTGTACGTGTTAATTCAACAGTACTTGTAGGAGAACATTAAGGGAGCTTTGCTGTGGGTATGTGGGACTCAGTGTGTGCATGTGTTTTAATTGGTAAGTTCTCTAACAGGATATTAACTCTTAACAATAATAATCCTGTATTGGATGTATTGTAAATGTAAATTCTATAGCAGCTAATATGTTGAAATGTCTGAAAGCACTTGGCAGGGAAATCAAGTGTTGTGGCTATGCACTTTCAAAGTCACAATGATCAGTGAATGATTAATTTTATTTGCATGATTGCTGGCCAGGATATTGAGAGAAACTCCTTGCTCTCTTCAAATAGTTTAATGGAATCTTTTAATGTCATTCTGGAGATTGGAGCTATTTGTAAAAAAAGAAGTTGCATTTTTATAGTGCTTATAATGTTGAAACATCTCAAAGTGCTTGACAGTAATACTATCACGTGTAGTGACTGTTTTAGTTGGCAAATGCCTCAGCCAGTCTGGGCACAGCAAAGTTCTACTATCAGCTGTGAGGTGAATGATACACAGAGAAACTCCTTTCTATTTTTAAGATCTTTATAATATTAATCCTTGCATTTGATATAGTGCTTTTCATGTCTTCTAGATGTCTTAAAGCGCTTCACAGAATATACTGTAAAGTGAATTGACTGTATATTTGTGGGCAAAACCAATGTCCACTTGAAGAGTATGGGATCTTGGGATAACATCTCATTCGAAGCACAGTATGTTTGACAACGCAGTGCTCCCCCAGTATGCATTGAAGTGTCTGCTTAGATATATAGCTCAAAGTCCTGTTGTGGGGCTTGATTCCACAACTTTCTGACTCAGAAGTGAGAGGGCTACTGCTGTTTGTCTGACTCCCCAGCTTTTCCCTACACAAGCTGCAGACCATCCAGAACAATGCAGCCTGTGTCCTCTGCCGCAAAAGGCACTGCGTGCCAACCACTCTCATCCTTGCTTAGCTCAACTGGCTCCCCATCCCCCAGTGAATCAATTTCAGAATTCTTACATTCACTTCTAAATCCCTCCTTGGCCTCTGTGACCTTGTGAGAGAGACCCTACTGACCTGCTCAGCAAGCACCTGCTTCACATCCCAGCACTCTCTGCCCCACTATTGGTGGGCAAGCTTTCAGCTATTCCGCCCTTGCTCTTGGAACTCCATCCCGGGGTCCCTTTGCCTTCCCCTTCCTTCCCCACTGTCAAGATTTATCTCTTCAAGTTCCGGTTTCCATATCCTCTCCCTTCAGCTCCCCATTGCTTCCCTACCCCGGGTTATCTGACAGTGTGAAACACAGTGAGACATCCTCCCAGCATCAAATACGCTATAGAAATATAAATTGTTGTTGTCTTCTATTTGGTATAGTTGCATTCTTTTGGCTTCTCTCAGTGAATTTCCAATTTAGTGGTAAATTAAGGCAGTTTTGTGCTGTGAGCTCACATGCATTGGTGACTGAATTGAGATGAAGTTATGTGGTTAAAGAGGAAGGCTAGTAAATAATAAATGTTTGTGTTTCAGGTCTGCATATTAAAATCAAAGAGAAGGCAATTTTTCATCTGTATTCACCTGCAGGATCATGAAGTTGTTGTCTGTCTACTTGCTGTGCTTTTTATGGATAGGGAATCTGAAAGCTCAACCTGAGCAAGAAAACATAATTCTCCCTCTGGAAACTCTCAAACGTAAGTGCAAATGTGGTTTAAAACATAAACTTTGTGACATTTACTGACTACTCAATGGAGACTAAAAAGTGGGCTGGCGGTATGGGGAAAGGGCAGGTAAATGGACTGAAAGAATTCCTCTTAAAAGAACCAGCACAGACATGATGACCTGAATGGCCTTCTTTTGTGCTGTAAATTACTATGGTTCTATACGACTATGGGCTAATAGCCAATGGCTAACCAGAATCGCCTGCATCTGTTTTCGTTTGTGGTTAATTACAAAATTAACAGCCTCTGTATTCTTCTGAAAATATTTTGCCGTGGGTTCATGCATTTTAGACCCTTGTTGCATATATCACATCAAGCTTAAATCAGCTTGTTAGCGAAAGAGTGCTATGCAAATGTAAAACACAGCATATGAATATCTCACTGTGTGACATTAATCTTTTTAGAGGTGTCCAAAGTAGGTGAGAAATATGTGGAAAAGGAAGTGAAGAAGGCCCTGATTGGCATCAAACAAATGAAGACCACTATGGAAGAAAGTGAAGAAATACACAAAAGTTTGATGCTCTCTTTAAAAAAAAGCAGCCAAAAGAAAGAGGTAAATGAAAGATTATAAATGGAGTCATTCCTAAGCCAATTTTGCCACACATGTAGCACTATGTCTCTGGTGGTAATGCTGGACATTGTATGTGCTTTACACTGTCAAAGCACCCATCTCGACTACCAGAATAGGAATGCAGTGGAGTTATCATTGTCTAAGTAAAGACCAAGATTGTCCAAGATTTTATAACATTGTGGATGCAGCAGGTCAAATAGCAACATATGTTTGATGACCAAAAGCAAGGTACCACTATGGCTTCGATAAGAGATCTTCGATAAGAGGTATTCCTGGAAATAGATTCCTGCTGAAATGAAATACAAAAGTGTCATTCTGAAGGACTTAAAAAGAATTCACCAGTCAGGGAATTGATTTAAAATTAAATCAAAGCAGTAACATAACTAGTCTTGGTCTCAAAATGAAGCATGCCATTTGTGGAGCTAGAAAAGGGTTTATGCAATTCCTATGTTCTGCCAATAAACCAAATCACTTTAGATACTGTGAATGTAAGGCTCCTCACTGCTCAGAGCTGTACGTTTATTAAACTATATTGTTCTACTTCCCCATCAGTCTGAATCTAAAAGATTTTTAGATGAGTGAGTGATGACAGTACATTTGTAGCTCTGATTAAATGTTAGGAATTTAGTTCTTTGTGCATCAACGATTAAAGAGAACAGTAACGGAATGTGATGTTCTTCTTACATAGGAAGTCCTTCAACGTGCCAGAGATGTGGAGCAAAGACTAGAGAAAGAAGAGGACACATGCCAAGCTTCCCTACAGAGTGCATGGGAGGATTGCAAGCCTTGCCTGGAAGACGCTTGCAAGACATTTTACACCACAACCTGTCGCAGAGGCTTCTCAATATTTACAAGCAGGGTAAAACAACAACAGCAACTTGCATTTATATAGCGCCTTTCACGTCAGGTAGCGTCCCAGAGTGCTTTAAAACTGTGAAACTACATGAATTGGGAAGTAGCGGCATTTGTTTGCACTATTCAGGCAATAAGAAAAGGGGTTGTGTTTTATTTCTCATACATAGTTACTTATATGAATGTATGTATTGCAAAACATGTGTAACTGTAACATAATGTAACATATTATGCTTACAAAATATTACAACAACTATTATCACAACTAGAGTTCTTCATTGCACATCATAATCAATCAACAAAACACCATTCCAATAATATAGAGTACCTCTAATTAGATTAGTTGATGATAACAATGTGCATTTGACATAGCACCTTTTCACATTGTCAAAATGTCTCAAAGCGCTTTACAGGATATACTCTAACTGGGATTAACTGTATATATATTTGTGTTTGTGGGCGAAACATGGCAGCCAGTTGCGGACAGCTATGTCCCACACACAACCATGAAGTGAGTCACCAATTTTATTTGGGGGATTTGTTGGCTAGAACACTTGGAGAAACTCCCTTTTCTTTTTGAATAGTTCTCTTTTTGAATCGTTAACATCCAAAAGAAGAGTCAGATGGAATCTTGGTTTAACATCTCATCCGAAGGACGGTACCTCCAACAATGCAATGTACCTCCCAGCACTATATTACAGCGTCAGTTTCGATCTAATTCCATATCCAAATGTAGGGCTTGAACCCTCAACCTTCTGACTCAGACGAGAGTGCTATCACTGCACCAGGCTGAAACACATTTATACTAATTGCTTTACAGATTTATGTATTTCTATTAATTTGTACTACAATAACTTTCTAGTAGTAGTTTGGCTACAATATATATTTTGGGAGTTTTCATTATAAATAATTTGTAACAGAATAAATTGTGGGGAAATAAATCAATATTTTAGAGAAAAATAGTGTAAGGAATGTGTGAAGGTTTGGTGCTGAGCAAGGAATTTGCAATTTCTGTTTTATAGATAAAAGATTTCTTTAGCAGAATGACTCCTCTATTTTTCACACCACATGAAGGAAAGGACATCAGAGTTAATGAAGATACAGAGCCCAAAGATACAGACATAACAGAAATAGAGGATGCTTTCTCTCATCTGATGGTTGACGTCACCTCTACCTTTGATGAAAGTGTTCAGTTATTCAAAACCCTGCAGCAGGAATTTGATCAGTCGTTTCAGAAAGCCTTCACGTCGAATATGCAGCCGATCAGATCCAGCCCCAATGCCGACTCCCTGGAAAGTCCTTTTGGAGGTTCTGGCTTTTTTAAAGATTTGGGACTTACTAACCTATTTCAGTCGTTAATTGACTTGAGTTCCATACTCTTTGATAGTTTCAGCGCAGCAATCATTAACACGTTTGATGTCGTCCAGAACATCTCAACTGATACGATGAAACAACATGGAGGCAAGTTATAATGTCACAGTTACAATTAATGTAATAATGCAACAGCTGGAATTTGTTTCGGATTAGGAGATATAAATGCAACGAAAGCCTCTTAATGGAAACACCCATATCATGAGTGAAAGATTTCCATTACCCCACATTTAAAGTTTTAATAGTAATATCTGTTTCAAAAATCTTAACAGTTGTACAGAATTGCTGAATACAATAATGGACTTGTGACTTTTCTTCGTTTATCTTTTGATTTTCAAAATATTGTTATTTAAGCAGTAGATAGTGTCGTAGAGTTTCTGAATCTGACATTAGACAATCTGGCATTTGAGATCTTTTCACTATTTGTTTAAAATGGAGTTTCCAATTACAAGCACAAAAGAAACAGGATAACTATTTTTAATGATCGGTGCCTGATAGATGCCACTGGGACTGAAAGGAATTAGCATACATATTGAAACTAGTTGATTGATTGGTGAAATACACTAAGTCAGTAGATGTATCACTGGTCACGTAAATTCAGCTCCACTTCAATGTTAGGTTTGGTAAACCAATGCAATAAAATTAACAAAGCTCACGATTTAATCAAAAATATCCATAAAAGGTCCCTTGTCGCAAGATGCACTCTTTTAAGGAGGAATATAACTCAACATGTAATTACTGTCACTGATAAACACTTATCCACAAAGCAATCCACTGGATGCAACATCTTTATTCATTTTTAGTTGAGTAATTTTACAGAATATAAAAACACGTGATCAGTGTATCATCATGATTATCAGTGAGAGGCATCTCAAAAATCAAGGTGTGATTAGATCTGCCCAACAGAGTCATTTTATTCAAATTTCTTTACTTTTTAAGTTATCATTTCATGAGATGGACTAGGAACAGTGACCCAGGTGGTGCAATGTTTGGCGTTGGTGGCAAGAAGTTGTTTTTTTCACCTATATGGGAATCTCGTTAGAAACCCAGAATATTGGTCCTACCCCTAAAGCCGTTGTCTTAACATTTAAGATTGTGCTGAAAATTTCATAAAATGCAATTTTGAAGACAGGCTTCCATAATTCCTTTCAAGACTGAATTCTCCAAAATGCAACATGATCTTTAAGTTTAAGGCAATGGTGTTAAGGCTAAGATCTTAAGACATTCTGGGCTTTTGGAATCCACATGTATGTTTTCTCCACACAACTCAGAAGTAGGTTCTGGCCTCAGATCTAAGACTGAAGTGCTGCTAAACTATATTTGATTTACAAAGTTAATAGTCTGAGTTGTTATTCTCCACTTGTCCATAAATGTATCACAAAACTTTGCAGCGAGTACATATATTCCTCACCGTTTGTTAGTAAATTGATCAACAACTTCAATGTCCTTTTTTTGTCAACAGAACCAATATTTATTTGTTATGTAAGTTGCAGTGACTCGCAAGTTATTTTATACAGTAACAAAAAAAAGTCTGATTACTTTCCTTCAGATTCACACCATGGAGGTATTTTCTCTCATCTTCTGCTTTCTAGAAATGAAAATCTCTGCAGGGACATCCGCAGGAATGCCTCGGGGTGTCTGCAGCTGCAAGAAAAATGCCAATCATGTCACCCCCTATTTTCCCAGGGTAAGCTGTCTGTCTGTACTGTCCAAGTGCAGTGCTGATCTCGTGTGACTCACTGACGTTTCATTACAGAGAAATTGGAGTGAGCAAGAATCCTAAGTGCTTGATTGTTATTTGCAGGAAATTGCTGTGCACAAATTAGCTTACCCATTTTTGTAGAAATACTACACTTTACAGTAAATCATCCTTGCATTTGGTGTAGCACCTTTCACATCACAAGAACGTCCCAAAGATTCAAATGGATCAAATCCAAGATCTTTATCCTCACTTCCAATTCCCTCCATGTTCTCGCCCCACCTGGTCACTTTGTCTGTCACTCCCTCCTCATCTCTCTCTCTCTCCAAGCTTGGACTCACACGGCTCAAAGCACTTCACACAGTTAACTGAGACATACTCCTAATGTGGAAAGTGATATATATATATATGTATATATATGTCAACTGTTGTTGTTGTTGTGATATTAGCTTTTCCTGACATGATACTCCATACATATCTAACGCCTTGGGTGATCCTCCCAATGTAAAAGACGCTATACAAATGTAATTTTGCTGTTGTTGTATAATCTTGGTAATCTTGGAGCACTACCCCAGAATGGAAGGCTATTGAAATAATGCGCTGTACACTGATGTGTTTCACGATACACATTTCTGGAGGTAAATTGCTAAATACAGGTAATAAATAAATTAACTTTGACTATCTTTGTTCTTGTTTTGTAGAGTGTCCCAACCTCCTTGAGGTTCGGGTCGAATTTACTGAAGCCTCACACTTAGTAGATGCGTCAAATGAAGAATATCAGCAGGTTCTCCAGGTAGTACAGCGCCATACAGCAGACATTGCTGACCAGATGCAACACATGAAGGAAGCATTTGGCTGGTTGATGGAATTATCCAACATGACGCTGGGACATCAAAATATGTTTCGTGTTGATATGGTAAATATTTTGAAGATATTCTGAATACTCGACAAGTTTCTAAATCAGTGCTTTTTGTTAACCAAATAAAGTTATCTAACTTGAGTGTGGATGGTATATGGTAAATCTAACTTGAGTGTGGATGGTAAATGACCCCAGATCATGAACTCTGCATTATTCTGCATAAAATGGTAAGGGAAACGTAGAAGATAGAGTAGCTCTTTTGGAGAGCCAACACAAGCACAATAATAATAATATTATAATAATATAATAATCCTTATTATAATAATAGAACAAATTATTTCATACTGTGCTCTAAATTTCTATGGGTCTGTTTAGGGATGAGTTGTTATATTGAAAAATGGGGCAGGACTGTGTTTCTCATGCGGCTCAATACCAGCTCTGCAGGATTTATTAATCTGCAATGATTTCGCACTTCAAGGCTCAATTGATTGAATATAGTACAATACAAAATTACATTTTTAAAGCGCCTTTCACCTTGGGAGGAATTCCCAAGGCTCTGAACAGTCAGGGATTAGGACCCGAGCAGGAGGCGTGGTGGGTGGGATCAGGGAGGGTGGAGGGCAGGGACAGTAGGAGGGTTGCCGAAGGCACGGTGAAAGGAGGGTCTTGAGGCATGCCTTGAAAGACACAAGGGAGGGAGCGAGATGAAGGGAATGTGGGATGGAGTTCCAGAGGTGGGGGCAGAGTGGCAGAAAGCCCGCCCAATAGTGGGGGAGGCGGGCAAAGTGAAGCAGGCCAGAGCCCAGAGGGAACAAGCAGGATGGTAGGGGATTAGGAGGTCGCAGAGATAGGGGAAGCAAGACCAAGGAGGGCTTTGAAGGTGAGGACCAGGATCTTGAACTGTGTGCTGTGTGATGGGAAATCAGTGGAGTTGGGCAAGGATGGGGGTGATAGGGTCACAGAACCTAGTGCGGAGATGGATCTAGGAAAGTATTTTTTTAAGGATAGGAATGATGACGGTGGTTTTTAATGGAGTGAGAACAGTACCAGGGGATAGGGAGAGGGTTATTGATGTCGGTGAGTAGAGGAGCAAGGAGGTGGAGGTGGGAAGTAAGGAGAGGGGTAGGGATGGGGTCGAGGGAGCAGGTGGTCGGTTTCATGCGGGTTATGGTGGAGAAGAGGACGGGCAGATGGTTCGAAGGTGTGTAGGGAGGGATGGGTGGGGGCTGGGGTGGGAGGGGGAAATGGGGAAGGGGTAGCAGATGGAATGGCAGATGCAGCTGTGTGTATTCCCTTGACTTTGGATTCGAGGAAATCCAGCATCGCCTCACAGTTGCCGTTTGTGGTGAGGGTGGGCGAGACGTGAGAGGGTGGGCAGAGGAGTCAGTTTGTGAAGGAGAAGAGCCTGGCGTTGTCCTTAGCTTCCAAGATTGTCTTGGAGTAGAACAATGATTTAGCGAAGGCAAGGGTAGGATTTGATATGGTCTAGCCAGATCTGCCAATGGACCGTTTGATTTAAGCCAAGTGCACTCAGTGGCATGGACCTGTGCTTTAAGGGAGCGGAGGTGGCTGGTGCACAATGGTGACTTACGTGAATAGGAGACGGTTTGGGAAGAGAAGGGAGTAAGGGGATTGAAAGTGGAGGAGAGGGAGCTGTGGAGAAGAATAACTGAAGAGGATAGGTCATTGTGGGAGGAAGCCCAGAGGGGAAGGAGTTCAGATGACTCCAAGGCAGCTGAGAGGGAGGTGGGGGAAGAGAATTTTCCAGGGCCGGTAGGAGATGGAGGTGGGTTGGGTGGAGGTGGGGAGAGGGGTTGAGGAGTTAAAGGAGATGAAGTGATGGTCCGAAATCGCTTTGTCGATGATGGTGAGATCCGAGACGGTGAAGCCCCGAGTGATCACCAGGTCAGGGGGATGACCGCGGACGTGGGTCGTGGAGTGGATGTGGAGGGAGAGATTGAGGGAGGAGATAAGGGAGGAAAAGTCAACAGAGGAGCAGTGAAGGTTGAAGTGGCCTAGGGTGAGGAGGTGTTCGGAGCAGAGGGAGAGGGAAGATAGGGCCCGACGCAGGCTTCGCAGGCTGGAGCAGAGGGAGGCTGTGGGACGGTTGAGCCGAGATAAGAGTCGGGGAGGGAGAGGAGGACCATGTGGGAGTAGGGGAGGGTAGAGGACAGGGGTGGGAGTATTATGGGGAAACAGCTCGGGTTGGTGGCGGCAGCCAAAATGTGTACGCCGAGACTAAGAGCGAACTGTGGGGTTGGTGGGGATCAACGAGGCATGGTTAGCCCACTGGTGAGGGTCATCATGGGGAGAGGGGGACAGTGTTATAGTCCCAGTCAGTCCAGGCTGAGAGATTCAACGTTGGTGGGCGGATGTGACGTCACGCAGCAGCCGGCCCTCTGGTTGGCTGGTGACTCGGAGAGTCAGCGATGGCCGCCACGGCCGCAGCGGCGAGTCTCACGTTGGCTCCTCGCGGCTCAGATAAAGGTGGAGCTCGGACTCCGCGCCGATGCTGACCCCCCTCCCAGCCCGGCCCCCACCCATCCCTGCCTACACACCTTCGAACCGTCTGCCCCTGCTCTTCTCCACCATAACCCGCATGAAACCGACCACCTGCTCCCTTGACCCTATTCCTCTCCTTACCTCCCACCTCCACCTCCTTGCCCCTCTACTCACTGACATCAGTATCCCTCTCCCTGTCCCCTGGTACTGTTCCCACCCCATTAAAAACCACCGTCATCATTCCACCCTTTCACGTCTCGCGGGTAAGCCAGGGCCCCGCTCCAGGCGTCGAATTGAGATCTCGCTCTGGCCGTCTGTTTAGGCTTTGCTCCGGACGTCGATATAGTTTCACGAAGAGGAAATATTGTTTTAATAAAGTATTTTTTTCTTTCCCTGCACAGATAAAGTCTCCAAGCTTAGCAGGGAATGTCACTAATTCATCAGAGATTATTGTGGAAGTCAGTCTCTTGAACTCCCCGACTATTTCCTTTGCCGTCCCTGCTGCCATGACATGGAATGTTCCTAAGTTGGCGGACTTTGTGTCTGAGAAAGCATTTGAATTGTACAAGCGAAACTTCGGGTGAGTTTTCCTCTTACGAAGATGTGTTTTATATGGTACAACCAGAATATTCAATTGAATTTGTACTCTGGCAAGAGAGCACAAGTAGCAGAGAATTGCCAAATATGCAAAGGCATCGCAACCTATTGAGAAATACTTCAGAAGACTATGCGTCCAAGTCCCATTCTAGTGGAAATGGAAGAGTACTGCATTGTCAGAATTTCTGCCTTTCAGATAGCATATTAAATCAAGATCATGTCTTCCTCTTGTTCACTAACGACCTGTGAGAGTATTTGAAAAGGAGTTTCATCCAGTGTCCTTCAGAAAAATTGGTCATGGTTTAATGGACTTTGCTGTGCACAAAATGTCTTTTGTATTTGCATACAAAAACAACAAAATTACAAGTGTATAATGCCATTCACGTCGAGTGGACATCCCAAGGGGCTGGAGAATCACTGTTTCGGGCCCAAGCTGGGGGTCTGGATCGTGGAAGGTGGAGGGCAAGGGGGGGAAGCAGGATGATCGAAGACACGGTCGAAGTTGAGGGTCTTGACATGGGTCTTGAAGGTGGCAAGAGAAGGGGTGAGGTAGAGGGACTGCGGGATGGAGTTCAGAGGGTCGGGGCAGAGTGGTTGAAGGCCCACCCCCCAATAGTGGGGCGAGCGAGGCAGGGGACGTGAAGCAGGATGAAGCGAGTAGGATGGTAGGGGGTTAGGAGGTCGCAGAAGTAGGGGGGGGGAGCAAGATCTTTGAGGGCTTTGAAGGTGAGGACCAGGATCTTGAACTGTATCCCCTGTGTGATGGGAAGCCAGTGGAGTTGGACAAGGATGGGGGTGATAGGGTCACAGAACCTAGTGCGGGACATGACACGTGCTGCAGAGTTCTGGATGATCTGCAGCCTATGGAGGGAGGAGTTGGGGAGGCCGACAAGCAATAAGTTTGCATAGTCGAGCCTTGATGTAATGAAAGCGTGTATGAGGGTTTCGGCGGTCTGTGGTATGAGACAGTGGCAGGGCCGGGCGATGTTGCAGAGGTGGGAGAAGGCAGAGCGGGTCATGACACAGATGTGGGATAGAAAGGATAGTTGAGGATCAAACAAGACCCCAAGGTTCCGGACTGGCTCAGTGAGGTGGAGTGTGATACCATGGATGGTGATGCTGTCAGCGCCCGAGGTGAGAAGGCTCTGGCGGGAGCCAATCAGGAGAGCCTCGGTCTTGTTGACGTTCAACTGAAGAAAGTTAGCTCTCATCCAGGACTTGATGTCTGACAGACATTCTGTCAGGAGAGAAGTGGTCCTGGAGTCAACGGTGGAGACAGAGAGGTACAGTTGGGTGTCATCCACATATATGTGGAAGTTGACCCCATATCTGTGATTATATCACCAAAGCAGTCATACACTTGAAAGCAACTACTGTAAAATACTTTGAGGAGCTTTAATTTGATAATGTGCTGTAATTGTTTTCTTTGAATAGTTATTTCCCCATTTGGAGAGGTAGCTGGAGTCCTGTAGCTCAGTGGTTGGAGCGCTCGCCTCGCAAGCGAGAGACCTGGGATTGATTCCCGGCAGGTTGAAACGTTTGTCCAGCTCCTTGGGACCTCCTCCTGACGTGAAAGGCGCTATACAAATGTGATTGTGTTATTGCTGTTACTCCGCATGCATCTGTTTACCTAGCAGTAAGTAGGAATCCGATTGTTAGTTGATTGGCGGATTGCTTTTTTGAGGTAATAATTCCTTGAAAAAAAATAATAATAAATTGGTCACTCAATCCACAACAGTTGCAGAATACGATGCATACCTCATATTTGGGGGCTTAATTAAAGCATTTTTTAATATAGCTCATCAATGATTGGCAATCCCCCCCAAAAAAAATATGCCCATGGCACTGCTACCTGCAAGACTTTCCGATGAAGTATAAATCATGTCTCTTAAGTCAATCGGTTATTGCGTGAGTGTTGGATACACAGATATAGACAGACACTTTGTCTTTATTAGTATAGATACAGAAATGATTTGGGAGAAAAATAAACTATTTCAATACATTTATTTGGACAGAAAGGCTGTCCCACAATACAGTCCCACAAATCATCTGTTCATTACCACTGTTTATGGGACACTGCTGTGCAGAATTGGCTGCCGCGTTTCGCCCACAAAATATAGTCAATTCACTTTACAGTATATTGTGTGAAGCGCTTTGGGACGTCTTGAAGACGTGATAAGGTGCTATATCAAATGCAAGGATTATTTATTATTTGTTAGGTGTGGTTTTCAGTGGCCAATTCATGCTTTCCATTTTTTTTTCTAACTTTCTTCAATCTGAGCTGGATTGGTTGTTGAACTGATATCATTGTACATCTGAGGAGTAACTTTGAACTGCGGTGTGTGAATTTATGGACTGTCTAACAGAATTACAGGAGGTGCCTGCTGCACGTTGAGGCAAAGTTTAATATGCTTATTTTTTTCAGATACAAGAGCCAGTGAAGTGAAGACGGAGATTCTTTGTTAAAGGACGAGACGTGATGACTCCCTTCAATCAAGCCTATAATTGTTAGTTAGATGCCTTGATAGGGAACGTAATGTAGATGGCCAATGTTTGATTCAAGAAATCTAGTACATTTAATTGTAATTAAAGCATGATCTCTTTGATGGAAGGGATTAGAATTGATTATGAAGATTTGATGTCAGGAATTAATTTGAAGAGGTATACAGCACTGAAAGCAATCTGATTTATATAGTATTAAATAAAAACTATAATTGTCGCAAAGACTAACTAATCTCTGATACAGATGCTTTGCTGGCAGCAAAGACAGAATGGATAGAAGTGCACAAAGTGGTTCAGTTAATTCTCTACTTAGTCCACTAGATGACAGTGTATTCCACAAGTTCCCAATGCACTGACCTGTAATGAATGTAACAAAGTTTGAGTTATAGCAAAGGATAGATAACATACATTTTAAGCGATTACAGATCTTCTACAAATAACAGTGTTGAATACCAGTATTTAATACCAGGATGGGATGGGGGAGGAGGGGAAATAAAGCATTTTTTAAAAAAAACATGGGAGGGGTCCCTTCATGCCTTGATGTGGTCCTCACAGGCAGTACACCGGTTCCTTTCTCCTAAAGATTCAAACTCAGTGAATTATTGGATCTGAGCTGAGGGAGAAAGCACAAAATTATTTTAATCTAATCTGTCTTCCTATTCGACAACTGTTGAATAACAAAGAAAAGGAGAAATTCTCAGAAGTGAGAAAAAACGGGCAGCTGGAAATCACAGATCAGCCGACAGAAAATGACTCCCATACTCATCGCTGGAATTGAAAAAAAAACCATAGCTTTAATATACGGGCTTTCACACGGGCTGGACATATCAAAGCAGTTCGCAGGAATTACTTTAAAGTGTAGTGACTGTTTTGTCGGCGAACACGGCAGCCAATTCACGCACACGAAGGGTCATGAAGTGAGTGACTGATTTCATTTGGGGATTGTTGGCCGGGACACCAGCCTCGGACACCCTTCTCTTTTCAAATAGTGCTGTGGGATAAGAACATAAGAAACGCTGGACCAGAACATCGACCGAGATCCATCTGGTCCACCTTCCACCTTCCTGGTAGCTGCACGCGCACACGTCCCAAACTACCTACAAGCAGGATAGAGTCTCAGAGTGCTTAACAGTGGCAGAGCCTGACTCTGAGCCGGAGGGTGGGTGGGACGTGGTCAAAAAGGAAGGTGAAGCCCTGTAGCTCAGTGGTTAGAGAGCGCTCGCCTCGCAAGCGAGTGACCTGGGTTCAATTCCCGTCGGGGTGAATCCTCGGGCAAGTTTCCTTACTCCACGCGCCTGATAACCCTCAAGAAAAAATAACGATTTGGTCACTTCAAGCCACGACGGCTCGTGGGACGCCGCTGCGCGCAATTGGCTGCCGGGTTTCGTCACACAGTCACTACACTTTACGGTCTATCTGAGAAGGCGCGAAAAGCGCGACATCCAAATGAGAGGATTGATTATTACTATCATTATCTATGATAAGGTTTTCTGGTGGGTCTTGAAAAAAGGGGAGTGGGGCGGGGAGGGGAGGGGGAGGGGGAGGGGGGAGTGACCCCCCAGAGCAGGCAGTGGGGGAGGGGGCGGTCTGCAGCTCCTCCCGGGGATTGGAGAGGGGCCTCGGGGGGGCGTCAGGCCCTGAGAAAACAGCGCCAAAGTCAGCGCAGGGCCTGTGATTGGATGAGAGCGGCAAAAAAGGCGGGAATCCATGAAAATGGATTTGAAGGGAGAGAAAGACTCAGAGCAGCGCCCCCCGCCCCCCCCGGGGGGAGAGCAGCGCCCCCCGCCCCCCCCGGGGGGAGAGCAGCGCCCCCCGCCCCCCCCGGGGGGAGAGCAGCGCCCCCCGCCCCCCCGGGGGGAGAGCAGCGCCCCCCGCCCCCCCCGGGGGGAGAGCAGCGCCCCCCGCCCCCCCCGGGGGGGGAGCAGCAGTACCTGCAGCTGATCAGGTTCATCATGGAGAAGGGGGTCCCGAAAAATGACCGCACCGGAACCGGTACCATCTCAGTGTTCGGGACGCAAACTCGGTACAGCCTCAGAGGTGAGTGGCCGCCTCCGGCCCTCCACACACTGAGGGGGGGGGGAGCAGGGGAGAGAGGGGGAGGGGGGGGAGAGAGGGGGGAGCAGGGGAGGGGCGGGAGAGAGGGAGTGGATGAGGGGGGGGGGGGGGGGAGGGGAGAGGGGGGAGGGGGGGAGAGGGGGAGGGGGGGAGAGAGGGAGGGAATGAGGGGGGAGGGGGGGGAGAGGGGGGAGGGGGGGAGAGAGGGAGGGGAGGGGGGGAGAGAGGGAGGGAATGAGGGAGAGGGGGGGAGCAGGGGAGAGGGAGAGGATGAGGGGGAGGGGGGGGAGAGAGGGAGGGGATGGGGGGGGAGAGAGGGAGGAGGGGAGAAGGAGGAGGCGGATGAGGGGAGGGGGAGAGAGGGAGGGGGGGAGAGAGGGAGGAGGAGGGGATGAGGGAGGGGGGGAGAGAGGGAGGGGATGAGGGGGAGCGGGGGAGGGGGACGGGGGCAGTAAGTGTCCGCAGCTGTAACATCTGCACTGAGCTTCCACACCAGATGTGAGAGGGTAAACTATAATGTGTCTTACGGCGCAACCCGAAGGTGGGGAGGGAAGGGGCGACGTGGAGGGGTAGAGGAAGAGTGTTCCAGAGTTTCGGGGCGTAGTGGCTGAAATTGCGGCCTCCAATGGCGGTGCCGAGGGCCGAGGGACATCCAGGTGGATAATGTTTAATTCTCTTATTAAGATAAGCATTTAATTCCCTGAACTTTGGTAACGTTGGTTATACAGTAAAGTCTCACCTTGTGGTCACTCCCGACCTTGTGAGCAGTTTGTGAATCTGACCTTTTTCCCCCCTCCCAGTAATTCATATTTCAACATTGCACGACCTCAGTTAGATGGCAAACTCGCATTGATAGGCAGTCAAAACTACGGATCATGACTTACGACTTGCAAGAAGTTGTGCCGGCCGACCAATCCTGGACAACTACCAGTGCCAAACAGCTTAAATACATTAAACTACAATTCGATTTGACAATTCAATTTGACTCACTGGTGAAGTCAACTCTGCTGCTATGGTCAAAATTACTCAATCCACTATTAGGCTATTACCTGACAGTGGAAGACACTGTTGTTAGGTTGGTGCACTTCCCTTCTCTCTTTGGGTTACTAAAAAGCTGGTTGCTCTACAGTTACATGTGATTCTTGTCAACTCAGGAAGTACCAACTTGCTTTAGACTGTAGTGTGGTAACCTTCTCAAATGTTGTGTTTTCAGATGAATTTCCCCTCCTCACAACCAAGCGAGTGTTCTTCAAAGGAGTCTTGGAAGAGCTATTGTGGTTTATTAAGGTACAGTTTACTCAAAAAAGTCAATTAAACTAATGTGTGGAGTCCTGTAGCTCAGTGGTTAGAGCGCTCGCCTCACAAGCGAGAGACCTGGGTTCGATTCCCGGTAGGGCGAAACCTTGGGCAAGTTTCCTTACTCCACACGCCTGAAAATAATCCCTCAAGAAAAAAACAATAATAAATTGGTCACTTCAATCCAGGATTGTTTATGGCACACTGTTGTGTGCAATTGGCTGCCGTGTTTTGCCCACAAATATACAGTCAATTCACTTTACAGCATATTCTGTGAAGCACTTCAAGACGTCTAGAAGATGTAAAAAGCGCTATATCAAATGCAAGGATCATTATATTATAATTCTGTGGAGTTTTATAATAATAATCCTTGTGTGTGATGTAGTGCCTTATCATGTCTTCAAGATGTCTCAAAGCACTTCACAGAATATACTGTAAAGTGAATGACTATATTTTGTTGGCGAATGGCAGCAGCCAATTCCGCACAGCGGTGTCCCACAAACAGTGGTAATAAACAGATGATTTGTGGGACTGTGTTGTGGGACAGCCTTTCTGTCCAAATAAATGTATTGAAATAATAGTTTATTTTTCTCCCAAATCATTTCTGTATCTATACTAATAAAGACAAAGTGTCTGTCTATATCTGTGTATCCAACACTCACGCAATAACCGATTGACTTAAGAGACATGATTTATACTTCATCGGAAAGTCTTGCAGGTGGCAGTGCCATGGGCATATTTTTTTGGAGGGGATTGCCAATCGTTGATGAGCTATATTAAAAAATGCTTTAATTAAGCCCCCAAATATGAGGTATGCATCGTATTCTGCAACTGCGTAGCGCCAGAGGAAATTATGTACTATGAAGAGAGATATATCTATATTCTGCAGCAAGGGTATGGCATGATTTTTTAGTTGTCATGGGAGCTAGAGTCCTCCCATGTGGGACAGAGACAATATATTATAAAGTGTAGTGACTGTGTTTTGTGGGAGAGACAGAGAGAGAGAGACAGAGAAAATACATTGAAGTACCACAGGAGTCCTCCCAGCTGAGTTTAGATAAAGACAAAATGTCTGTGTGTCAGTCTATATTCCATATTGGATCCTTTGATTGCAAGCGAAGATACAACGGGTACAGTTAGAGGAACAGAGAGAATATATTATAACGTGTAGTGACTGTGTTTTGTGGGAGAGACAAAGAGAAACAGAGAGAGACTGAAATAGTGTGATAGACTGGGAGAGAGACTGAGAAAAAATATATTAAAGGAGTCCTCCCACTGAGTATAGATAAAGACAAAATGTCTGTCTGTGTGTCAATCTACATTCTATGTTGGATCCTTTGGTTGCAAGCTGGTCTTTGAATATTGTACATTAATGTGTGGAGTTCTGTAGTTCAGTGGTTAAGAGCATTGCCTTGCAAGCGAGAGACCTGGGTTTGATTCCTGGCATGGTAAAACCTTGGGCAAGTTTCCTTACTCCACACGCCTGATAATAATTCCTCAAGAAAAAAACCAATAATAACAAAATTGGTCACTTCAATGTTTCGCCCACAAATATACAGTCAATTTGCTGGACAGTATATTCTGTGAAGCGCTGTTGAAACGTCTAGACAATGTGAAAAACGCTGTATCAAATGCAAGGATTATTATTATCTTGCAGTGCGGGAAATCCAATACACACCAGAGTGCTTTGTGCTGTTGCTGAACATTTTTCAAGCAAACTAATATTTTTTCTAAAATTAACAAACATAAAAGACTATAGAAAGAGCAACCTTGCTGTGGACCACAATGATTCTCCCCTTCTAATAGGCAACATAAAAAATTTGCTTTACTGATACACCTGTTCTTGCTCTTTGTCCAACTTCCTCACCTAGGGTAAATTTGTATCCTTCCCTGAGTAATTCTGAAGCAGCCCATCCTTCATACTGGTTGTGTTAGGTTCGCTTTGTTCTGTGTGTAAAAGCCTGAAGTATGTCAGTCCCACAATACTGTTTATGATTCAATATGGGTGGTGCAGAGAGAACCGTTTCAAACTACTTAACATTTCTGCTAGCAGCTGGTTGACGAGTGGCATTTGGAAAGGCCTGACACGGATTAAATTGGTCACTCAATCCACGACTGTGGGGCACTGCTGTGCGCAATTGGCTACCGCGTTTCACCCAGAAAATATACAACAACCACCACAAAATTACATTTGTAAAGCGCCTTTCACGTTGGGAGGACGTCCTAAGGCACTGAACAGTCGAGAATCAGGACCCGAGCGTGGGGACAGGGTTGGGATTAGGGATGGCAGAGGTAGAAGGACGGCTGAAGGTACAATCAAAAATGAGGGTCTTAAGTTGTGCCTTGAAGGAGACAAGGAAGGGAGCAAGGCAAAGGGACTGGCATGGAGTTCTAAAGGGTGGGGGCAGAAAGGCTGAAAGCCCGGCCGCTGGTGGTAGGGTGGGTTGGGCGGGAGACTTGGAGCAGGCTGGAGCCTGCTGAACAGACAAGTTGATAGGTGGTCGGCAGGTCACAGAGGTAGGAGGGGGGCAAGGCCGTGGAAGGCCTTGAAGGCGAGGATGTGAATTTTGAACTCTATCCTCTGAGGGATGGGAGCCAGTGGAGCTGGGCGAGGGTGGGGGTGATGGGATTACGGAGCCTGGTGCGGGAGAGGACATGAGCTGCAGAGTTTTGGATGATCTGCAGCTTGTGGAGGGAAGAATTGGGGAGACCGACAAGGAGGGAATACAGTCAATTCACTTCACAGTATATTCTGTGAAGTGCTTTGAGACATCTCGAAGATGTGATAAAGCGTGTTTTTTTGGGGTGCATTTGTTTGATTTATGTTTAACTTTTACATTTTTAAAAATATTTCAGGGTTCTACGAATTCTAAAGAGTTGTCCGAAAGGGGAGTAAAGATTTGGGATGCCAATAGTTCTCGAGATTTCCTGGACAAATTGGGATTTATGTCCCGAGAGGAGGGTGATCTGGGGCCTGTTTATGGCTTCCAATGGAGGCACTATGGAGCTGACTACAAGGATATGCACTCAGGTAACTTAAAGCTTTGAGACGCGATACATCTGTAAGTAACGAATTTTGCTTTGAAATCATTTTATATTTCCACTGAGAACTGTGGAGAATATGATGAGCTTCAGTAACACGGGGGATCTGGTTTCTTTGCGGTTGGAAAGAAGCATCCATAGACTGATGTATTTAACACTCTTGAGGCATGCTTACCTGTTGTCTGAAAATGCCATGATTTTAGCCCTTGTTTAAAATGTTAAGATTGTGCAAAATTTTGGAAAAGTCGGTCATAATTTTGAAGCTTTTTTNGCAGTTCTTAAAAGACACCTTGGTTATTGAGACTAAGATCATGAGAAATGTCAGGAAACAATCTAAAAGGAAGTGTTTTTTCTTATTGTTAAGTATGTTGCCTTTGTGATTGTAGATTACACTGGACAGGGAGTGGATCAGCTCCAGAAAGTAATTGACACTATCAAAAACAACCCAGATGATCGTCGGATCATAATGTGTGCCTGGAACCCTAAAGGTAAATGAACCATTTATATAGTTATTAGATTCTGTCATAGAATTATGTCCTTCAATCTACAAACCAAACAGTTTAATTGTTATATCCCTAAAATCTATAACGATGATAATAATAATCCTTGCATTTGATATTGTGCCTTTCATGTCAGAACGATATCTCAAAAGTGCATCACAAAATATATTGTAAAGTGCAGTGACTGTGTATTTTGTAGGCCAACACTGCGGTCAATTTGCACCCAAAAACGTCCCACAATCAGTCACAAGATAAATGACCAATTTTATCTTGGGGATTGTTGGTTTGGGACACCAAGAGAAACTCTTCTCGAATAGTGGCATAGGATCTTCAACATTCACCTGAACAGGCAGAGGGGGTCCTCACTTTAATGTCTCAACCGAAGGACATCCTGTAATTCTCAGCGTTATCATTAGCACTTGTTGGGAGTTGAGGAACAAGGGAGTCATTTTTACTTTATCTCTTTTGATGAACAATTAATATTTATAATCTTTAATTCTTCAATGTGACAACATAATTGACAAGTAGGAACCCGGTTGTTAGTCGATTGGTGGATTGCTTTTCCGGGGGTAATAGTCCCTTAAAAACAATAATTTGGTCACTTACTCCATGACTGTTTGTGGGACACGGCTGTGCACAATTGGCTGCTATTTTTCGCCCACAAAATATACAGTCAATTCACTTTTCAGTATATTCTGTGTAGTACTTTGAGACGACTTGAAAACGTGATAAGGCACTATATCAAAAGTACCTTATTGTGCTTATTATTATTTATTATATCTGCAGGATCAAGGTTGACTGGTATATGGTAATAAGGCGCTATATCGAATGCAATGATTACTACTATCAGAGTTACTAAATCAAGAGGTGCTGTACCAGAAAGAGATTGTCTAGACAAAGTCTCAAAGTGAATTTCCGGAACTATGGAAGGAAAGAGATTGGCTGACCAATGTAGTAGACCTCGGAAAGTATCATTTTTGACTATAAATGCAGTAGTAATTTAGATACATTGCTCACCATTGTATTTGATATGGGGGAGATTCATATTGATTCATAGTGATTCACAGTGCCTTCAGCCACTATGCCCCAAGTCTTTGGAACTGCCTTCCTCACTCCCTTCGTCTCGCCCCCTTCGTCTCGCCCCCTCTCTTCCTATTTTCAGGTCTCTGCTGAAGACCTTTCTTTTCGACCGCGCCTTTGGTCACCTTCCTCCCCCTCCCCCTGGCTCGGCCCTGGGATCCATTACTGTGAGGCGCTCTGAGACGCTGTCCGGCGTGGAGGGCGCTATATAAATCCAAGTTGTTGTTCATTCTTACAAGTTGTAAAATGTTTTTTGTTGTGAGGGGACGTGGGTGTTACAAGTGTTAATGTAACACCTCCATCCCCTCAAAACAAAAATACATTTAAGTATAGGTCTTTTCAAAGCGAAACTTAAAAAGATCTCCTTTGTTTCCTGTTAGGAGAAAACATGAAACTTATATTCTTTAATTCAAAACCATTTAACTGGTGTCAGTGAGCCGGGAAGTTCAGTAATCAGCTTAGTAAAGTGTTAACTTTGTTTGATTTGTATAAGCACATTTTCTGTTTTGTATCTTCAAAGCCACAACGATTGCTGCTGAAGATTATACGCGGGTCTGGGAGAAGGAAAAGTAATTGGAATACATAACTCCCATGGGGCAGCACCTTAGGTTTGATGGTTCCTTCTATTCTTGCCGATTGGTTCCTTCTGTTCTGTTAATTTGTATGAAATATGCTGCTCAGTACACAAAGTAGCAATGAGGAGCATATTTCATAAAAACTAACAGAATAGAAGGATACCACAAAGCAGTGGGAACTGCTCCTGTGTGTGGTAAGCACTCTGTCAATAAACCCCGTTTAGCTCTACTGCCATTTGCAGAATGTGTGCAGATGGTTCGCTACAAATGAAATCAGCCAGTAAGAGAAAAAAAAACTCAATTTCTTTAATTAGTGTGAAAATAAACAGGTTTTCTAGTATAATTTCTGGGAAATTAAACATGTTTCCAGTGGCAAAAACAACTCAATCCTGAGTCGTCCTCATTCGTATCTCTTCTAGATCGTCCTTGGGATGTCCTCCCGATATGAAAGGCGCTTTACAAATGTCATTTTGTTGTTGCTGTTCTCTCTATTATCCTTGCAGATGTTCCTAAGATGGCTCTCCCTCCCTGCCACGCTCTCTGTCAGTTCTACGTACTAAATGGGGAACTGTCCTGCCAACTGTATCAGAGATCAGGAGATGTGGGGCTTGGCGTTCCATTTAATATTGCCAGCTATTCCTTACTGACGTATATGATTGCCCATGTCACAGGCCTGAAGGTACTTCAAGCTTGGTATTTGGTGACATTGGCTGATATTCCTTGCAACAAATTGTACTGTTCACTAAAGTAATACTCTCAGATTTGTTTGCAATTAAGGATAAAAATGCTTAAAATGAGAGCTCATTTTATTGATTGAAAACAGTATTAACATACATCTTCGTCAATTTTGTTTTCATTGTTGTTGGGGAAAAGGAATGGGAATCCATTCTAATCAGTGTGACAGAAAATGAGACTTGTGTTATCATTGTGTTTTGCCAGAATTCCCTAAATATGGGTTTCTGCACAGAATAACAGAACCCTTTTCAAGATGAAGCAGCAAACTTGCACCAACTCTGAATAACATTATGGACGTAATATTAAAGATGTTGGTTTTACCCGTATGGGCCAGAAGAGTTTCTGTAATCTTAGAGTAAGAATAGGATTCAACCTCAGTTCTATTATTTCACTTTTTATATAAGTGGCATTGAAGATCTAACCTTAAGAGAATCTCTCTGACTTTACCTTCATATTATCTTCAACGTAATCAGGTTGACTGTTGCCTTAACTGTCTCGACCAGGTAACTTAACAATGACTATTACTAGATAATTGCTTGAACATAGTAGTAAATAACACTTGTTTTCCTTTCAGCTTGGTGACTTTGTGCACACTTTTGGGGATGCTCATATTTATAAGAATCATGTTGAACAATTAAAGATTCAAGTAAGTGATCACCACTACAGAAATGGTATAACTTTTTTTGAATCAATATTTTCCAATGACTGTATTTAAAATGTGCCTTCTGATTAACCCCCAAATGTTTCCTCTTCTGTTTGCTCCCAAGTAAAGTTGTGATATGCAAATTTGTGTTCCCCACTCTTTCTTATGACCGAGAACAAAAGCCGATTTGGAAATATTTCAACCTGTGACTGATATGTTTTGCTTTCACACAGCTCCAGCGTGAGCCAAGACCATTTCCCAAATTAAAGATCACTCGCAAGGTGGAGAACATCGATGACTTCAAGGCGGAAGATTTCAAGTTAGAAGGTTATCACCCACACCCAGCTATTAAGATGGAAATGGCTCTGTAATGTCTTCCTGGCTCTGCAAATAGTTGAAGCACAGGAGTTTTTGGATGTAGATGTAACGCTCTATTATCTTCAAGTTTTGAAGATAATTGTCCACAAAATGGATCACTCCTATTCAAGTGTGGGAGAGATCTGCAGCCTGTGCACCTGCAATGGAATAACCTGTAAAAGAGTTAGCCGGGATGGTTTTTCAAGGTGAATAAGTGTGGGGGTTTGTTTTGATATAAAGCAGGAGTATTTACAGTTGTACAATACATCAGTATTTGCTGTTTTAAAGTCTTTGTAGGATTGCTGCTTTGGGGCTTATTTGCAAATGTTAACAATAAAGGTGTACTCTTTGGAACAATATCTTCTAGTATTTCAAAGCATTATCTTCCAGGACCTCTGGTAATGTGTGAACAAGCCAGCTTTTGGAAATTGAGACGTTTCTCGCCTCCAAGCAAGCAGTCGGACTAGAAAGTCAGGTGTCCTTATAAAATGCTCCAGCAGTGTCAGTATTGTACAGCCATTGTCGGGAGCACCGTTAACAATACACATTTACATTTTATAAAGAGCCTTTCGCGTCAGAAGAACATCCCAAAGCATTTACCAGTATTGGCTGGACACGCAAGCTGGGATGGAGTGAGGGGGGGTGGAGAGGCGAAAGATGATTGAAAGATCGGTCTTGACGTGGACTTTGAATGAGAGGAGAGAGGGAGTGATTTGGAGGATTCCAGAATTGAGGTCCAGAAAGTGGTGACAAAAAGGTTGAAATCACATCCGCAGATCTTTCTGGTCTGATTCCTTTTACTCTCCTCTAACTTGTAAAGAGGCTTCTCCAGCCCACCTGCTTGAGGTTTGATGGAAGGTCTCCCTCGAGACATAACCCTATCTTTCTCTTTCAGGTACTATGAACTTGCTGTGTGTTCTCAGCATTTTCTGTCTTTATTGCAGGAAAAAAAGATTAAAATCAATTTTCTGTACATAAATTGCTAACAAGTTAAATGGCAGTAAATCTGGTGATTTGACAATATAATTTGCTGGTACAGTAATTGAGTTTCCATTATACAGTTAATATTAATCACACTGCTCAGCAGTGGCAGGTCAGTCTGCTGATGGCTAGGGGCACAATCTTCAGTTGGGAAAAAGGTTTACTCGAAAGCAAGCAGGATATTAATTGCAAGGTTAACTGCTGTCAGAACAGATTAATAGGGAGTTTTCCAGTAATCTGTTTTTAAAAATCACATGGTCATCCAGCAAAGCAGTTCCATATACAATACCTTCGGAGTCTGGTTCATGAAATCACAAATATCCTTTGTCTTACATTAATTCAATTTCTTCATCTTCAGTTTTGCTACATTGCAAAATAAAACAAAATTACTTCTGCATACTCCTCCATATCCTACTGGCCTGTACATCTTTTTCCTCCATGTGGAGTCCTGTAGCTCAGTGGTTAGAGCACTCCTTTTGCAAGCCAGAAACCTGGGTTCGATTCCCGGCAGGGTGAAACCTTGGGCAAGTTTGTTTACTCCACACGCCTGATAATAAACCCTCAAGAAAAAACAATAATAAATTGGTCATTTCAATCCATGACTGTTTGTGGGACACTGCTGTGTGCAATTGGCTGCCGCATTTTGCCCACAAAATATACAGTCAATTCACTTTACAGTCTATTCTGTGAAGCGCTTTGAGACATCTAGCAGACGTGAAAAGGTGCTATATCAAATGCAAGGATTATTATTATTATTAACTTTCAATGGAGCGAGCAACAGCCAAGTCCTACTATTTAAACACAATATTTGTAACTTAAACAATATTTCTGCAGTCAGAATCTGTGAGAAAGGCTTTTAAGACATTCTTCCCAAAGCGAAGGTAGAATGTTGTTTTCACCTCCATAAGCTTCAGGAAAGCTGTATTGATGAACAAATCTCAGACTTTAGGCCCTTGTTTTTTTCACATTATGTTTTACAACATTTTCTTTGCTTACAAAATGCACAATCACTGCACTTTACAGTGGATCCTGTGGAGCGCTTTAAAGGCTCCTTAGGTGTAGGTCACTATTATCAGATACAAGGATTATTATTACTTTGGCCATTTCTTTTATCATTCTTCCAGAGAGGCTAATGAACATTTTCTGAGTCACTGTTTTCTCCATTCCCTACGGCGTAAACCACACACAACTGAGGAGTCAGGTGGTGAAGCTGCCCCAGACTTGTAACAATGACACTCTTGAGACACCGAGTTGCCTGAGGTGATACCAGGATTGTATGTGATTCCCCCACCCTTCCTGCAGGAATGCTTTTAGCCTCTTCAATGAAGCCAGTAAACTCCTGCAATCTTACAGAGCCATGAAAGTGGGAGTGATGGCCTTGTTTTAAATATTCCAGAGGAACACTTGGAGGCAATTGCTTCAATCCCTTAAAATAACAACTTGCATTTATAATAATCCTTGCATTTGATGTAGCACCTGATCACGTCATCGAGACATCTCAAAGCGCTTCACAGAATACACTGTAAAGTAAATTGACTAGATTTTGTGGGCTAAACACAGCAGCCAATTGCACACAGCAGTGTCCCACAAACAGACATGGATTGAGTGACCAAATTATTATTTGTTTTAATTCTGAAGGGATTATTACCGCCGGAAAAGTGATTAGCCAATCGACTAACAACCAGGTTCCTACTTATGCTAGGTAAAGAGAGGCATGTGGAGTAAGGAAACTTGCCCAATGTTTCGTCCTGCCCGGGTATCGAACCTGGGTCCTCTTGCTTGTGAGGCGAATGCTCTAACCACTGAGCTACAGGATTATATAGCTCCGCTCATACAGGATAGCATCCCAGAGCGCTAAATAAGCCTTGCATTTCATATAGCACCTTATCAAGTCAAACACTTCATAGTTAACTCTTGACTGAGTTTTCGAATGGTGCAAAGGGGATCTTTAATGTCCAACTGAATAAATAGCCTGACACAATCTTGATTTAACATTTTGACAAAAGGATGTCACTTCTGACAATGCAGTCTCAGCACTGGCCTGGAGGGCCACTCGATAGATACCGTGAGCTCAAAGTGCTCATGTGGGGCTTGAACTTTCTAATTTAAAGGTGAGAGTGCTACCAACAACCAGCCTGAGTTCCAGCCAAGTGCTGTGAGTCGCCACCCGGCGTGGAGAGCGCTATATAAGTGAAAGTTGTTGTGGAGTTTTGATACAGTTGCCAGCAGGGGCCATGTTTCAGGTTTTCTATCAGTTGTATCACACCCCTCCCCCAGAGGGGATTGGCGGAGTTATCAGCCTCTTCCACAATCTCTGGGCTCAGCTGAAGGTTCAGTCTCGAAAGGCCACCCATGTCAAAAGTCAAATTCATCACCTGTTCTCTGGGATCTCCACTCTCCTTGATCCCAGAACGAATATTTTAGTTTAGATGCTATGAAAATTCCTTCATGTGAAAGGCACCATGGAAATATATTGTGATTATTTAATTGATTATTATGTTGTATGCTGCCAAACACCACATTCCAGGAGGTTTTGCCCTTTATGCTCTTTTAAGTTCAACCGTGAAAAATCCTGTTCTTCTTCTTGTTTGTACTGCACTAAACCCTCATTTAGAAAGGTTCCCAAGATATCACTGTGTCCTCTTAACCTATTGCTGTAGTGTATCTAAAAGTATTAAATTGGGTTTATTTCGTTGTTCAGATTCAGCATCTTTAAATCTGTCTATAAGATCCCCTCTGAGTTGTCTCCTTTCAAGGCTACAGAGCCCAAGCTTGCTGTGTTTCCTCCTAGCTCATCCCTTAACACTGGGATCGACTTCATTGTTTCTCTGCAATTGGTCTCTGTGGCCACTTGGCATCTCAGGTTCAAATTGTCCTTGTTTATGCTGTGTTAAATGAATATTGTATGATTTTGAAGAACCTTAATTTAAAGTACTTTCAAAAAAAGTAATTCAGTGTCAACAAAATGGACATTGGTAAATTCGGACTGCTACATTCCAAAACAAAACAGTAACATTATAATAAAACTAACATTTTACAAGGCAAATGGATTTCAGCTGTGTCAGGAATTTTTCTTACTACAAGGGCATAGATAATATTGGATACAGGCTCGATGTAATGAAGGCGAGTATGAGGGTTTCGGTGGCCTGCGGTGTGAGACAGTGTCGGAGCCGGGAAATGTTGCGGAGATGGGGGAAGGCAGAGCGGGTCATGGCACATATGTGGGGTAGAAAGGATAGTTGAGGGTCAAACAAGACCCCAAGGTTCCAGACTGGCTTAGCAAGGTGGAGTGTGCAACCATGGATGGTGATGCTGAGGAGGCGCTGACAGGAGCCAATCAGGAGAGCCTCGGTTTTGTTGACATTCACCTGAAGAAAGTTAGCTCTCATTCAGGACTTGATGTCTGACAGACATTCTGTCAGGACAGTAGTGGTCCTGGAGTCAAGGATGGAGGCAGAGAGGTAGAGTTGGGTGTCAACCGCATACATGTGGAGGTTGACCCCATGTCTGTGGATGACGTCACCAAGAGGGAGTATATAGATGTTGAAGAGGATGGAACCAAGGACAGAGTCCTGAGGAACACCACACAAAATGGTCCAGGGGCTAGAGGAGAAGCCGTTTGAGGAGATGAAGTGCTTTCACCCTACTGCCCCAGTAAGCACTTCACTCAGCGAACATCAATCTGCTTCATGTTCTCTGCCCTAACGATCCCACCATAGGCTTTTAGCCCTTCTCTGGAACTCCACCTCAGAGTCCATCCTACTCCCTCCCTCAGCTTGTTTAAGGTCCATCTTAAGATTCTTCGACTGCGCTTTTGGTTGTCTTTACCCTCCTCACCCCCTTCCATTTCCACCCCCAGTTCGGGTGCCCAGCAAGCAGTGTTGGGCACTTTGTGATATCCTATGTGAAAGACTCTATATAGATGTAAATTGTATTATACTGGTATATAGGAGTGCAAACTGGTAGATAGGACCATTTGTAAACTAATATGAAAGGCGGTATATAAATGCAATTTGTTATTGTTGTTCACAGTTGTCAGAATAAATAGAATTTTAGAACTCCAGGCACGGAGTAACTGGAAAACAGTGCTTAGTGCCTGTGAAATTCTTGTCATCCACATCCAATTACAAGGGTTCGATACCATGTGGTTCAATGCAAAATCAAACCAACAGAAGTACCCTGTTTGTTTGAGCTGGTGTCAGCCAGTTCTGCTACTGGAGATTGACGTTAGGACCCGTATCCAACTGGGCCTCTGTGAGAAGGTGCCAAGCAAAGGCTAGGAGCTTCCACACAGCGGAGAGAATTATGAAAGTGCTGCTATCTTCAGGCAATTCTGAAGAATCATAATAGGTAACCCACCTGACCCCATTCCTGCAGT